AGAAAGAAAGAAAGAAAGAAAGAAAGAAAGAAAGAAAGAAAGAAAGAAAGAAAGAAAGAAAGAAAGAAAGAAAGAAAGAAAGAAAGAAAGAACCAGAACAGCATACTTGAATTATGAGGATAGAAGCAAAGTTAAATTTTACTCTTGACCAGAATTCAACTTCAGCTCACCAAAGAAAGTTTTCAGCATAAGAGACTGCTTTTAAGTTATGAAAGGGTACGATTTAGAAAGAGAACAGTTTTGGTATTATTTTAAGGGTGACCATTCAAAAATGGACATTAAGAAAACCTATTTTGTATGTAAGATTATATAAAATACTGTACTAGCACCCTAGTGGCTGAAGGGTAGATTACCTCTTATTATCTCCCTCTTTGGCCATCCTGATGCTGAGCATTCTGGCAAGCACACACTCATACTTAATTGAAACTCCAGCATTAAGAAATTTCCTTTCTTTTTGAAAGCTCAGAGGTCCAGGGTCTTCCTTCTCCTTTACATAATCAACAGTGACTTCTCCCCTTTCCTGTCTGTTTTATCCCATCAATTTCCACTTTCCCCAGCACACAATTCTACTCTGCTCATTTCCCACCAAACTTGACCACAAACTCCTCTCTCAATTCCAGATGCTGGTTGCACTGGAAAAAAGCTCTGGGCCATTCTATTCCATGTCCAGTTTATCTCAGCCTAGAACCAATGAACCACTCCAGATGGCCAACCTTGGATTATAGCCACTCCTCCATGCCCCCAGCTCCACTCTCCCAATTCTGGCCCAAGGCTCTCAGGTCACTGTTCTTTATCCTGCTTTACTCTGGGATTTCCACCACTCACCTCCTTCTACAGAGATTCCTCCCATGTGTAGACTGGAAAAACTGGTGTGTTCCTACTTTCTCCTTTCAAGGCCATTCTGTTTAGGACTATGAATTCCTCCCCCATCCCTCACTTCAGCCTATATTTTCTAATTAATGCTTAGATTTGTAATGCCTGGATCCCAGTTAACCTCTGCTTCCTGGACTCTCCCAGCGGAGGGGTTATCAAAGACAAGTTTTGACTTTCCCAATACCAGCTCCAGATGACATCTGAGTAAATGTCTTCCTCCTTTGGTCATCATTCCACTCTCTTTGTCCACATTCTGAATTTTTTAGCTTGTGTACTATCTCTTAAACTCTTTATTCCCTTACAGGTAAATATATATCTCTTCTTAAATATATATATTTCTCCCCAACCCAAGATTATTCCAAGATCGTTCTTTCTTAACCCAGCTCTAGTGATTCTAACATGCAAGTGTAAAAAGCCTTAAAGGTTCTTCAAATGTTACTTTGGAAAACATTATTCTAGTGATTTCAAGATTCCACTTTTGCTTTAGTTGTCCCTAAATGAATCAGGGATAATCAATGGCCTTTCTTCCCCCTTCATTGATCAACCAACCCTATTTCCAGCTTTAATTTTTGTCTTCCTTCTTTCTAGCATTCAAGTTTGTTTCTCCCAAAATATTGTTCCCCTAAAAGAAGCCAAGGTCTAAAATCCATAATCTAAATTAATAACATCATGCAGTCCTCTGCAACCTGTACTACAACTTCTCCCTTATGCAGCGAATAGCACGATGAATAAAGCAAAGACTTCTTGAGGAAGTCCCTCTGCTTTGTAAGTAAGTCTAAACTACTGAGAACGCCTTTCCTGGCAAGTCAAAGTAGTTAGGTCTATGTGAATATCCTTGGCATAGTCACCATTTCTTCCAAAACTCCCTCATTCTGCCTAATCCAGAACCAGTGACAGAAATCGCCAGGAACTTAGCTTCCTTCTGTCCTATTTGTGGTCTTTTCCTAATTGGCCTCTTCTAAAGAACTTGTCCTCCTTAAATCAGAGTCCCCTCCTCTTCTGCTATCAGTGACTTCTCAAGTGCCAAAACAGAAAGAAACCTACCTACCCTGGCTGCAAAGCTGGTAACAAGGTCGGTCAGTCCTATTAAAGTCAGCCTGTGCCTCTAGTGCAGGACATCCACCTCAAGGGCAGTTGCCTCAGTTGCCCTGATAAAAGATGAGTCTGCCTATGAAGAGTCATGCCCCTCCTCAGCTCTATCAACCTTCAGATCTTCTGGTATCATCAAGTTGCTGCTCTCTCAGGTCCCCTAGCTTTTCCTATTTGCTTCTCCATCAAAATTGTACAGATTCCTCCTCAACATTATGTTTGTTCTATTTAGAGCTCCTGGGTGATTCTTGGGGTTGGGCTACCTGTTTAATCCCCAGTAGAATCTTCCAAACTTATTTCCTATGGACTGTCCTCTTTAGTAGCGCATAGTGACATCACCACCCAATCTGAATACCCCTAAACTCAGCCTCATTATGTTCCCTAACAAAAAAGCCCCCTCTATCCCAAGGTTCAAAGACATAACAGGTAAACAGAACACTTAGATGGCCTTTAAAGTCGCTTCCAACCTTGGGATTTTATTATCAACCTAATCCATTCCCAACCCCACATGCATTTCCCCACTCATTTCCCCATAAAACGTTTCAGCAGCAGTGACTTAGAGAAATAGTCTTCTAAACTGAAAGAACCTTGGGGCTAACAGAGTAATGCTAACCTACAACCACACCCCCAGATGTCTCAGCAAAGATTTTTGCAATTGTACTCCACCTCTGTGCCATGAGAGTATTCCGCTGTTGCAAAGTTACGGGGGTCCCTTCCCACACTCAAGTAAAGAGCCCCTAAACCCTGGAATAGAGGTGTCCTCGCCAAGGGACATCTATCCTTACTGTCCACTCTAGGAGACATCAAGAATGAGTATCAGCTACCACATGGCCAGCTTCAAAAGCCGATATAGAACATTTCAAAACAATAAAACAAAAACAGTACTTCCACGGGGGGGGGGCTGCCGGCAGAAAAGAAGGGTACCCCACCAGCCTGTACTGTTGGCCTCCCACCTTTCACCTCCACAGCTCTTCCTTCAACCATCTCCAGTACCTCTATAATATGAAATCCCCAGTCGAGGTGACGCCGACTCCTCCCAGCCCTGCCCCGGACGTCCCTCTGGCCCAGCCTTCTTCTCCGCGGGACCCCGGTGAGCAGGGCCCCCTCCACCGTCCAGTTCACCTCCCAGTCCCTTCGCAGCCCTCCGGGTGCCCCTGCAAGGCTCTGTCCCGAAGCAGAACCTCGAAGAGCCAAGCCCACGAGGCCCGTCGCGGGACCAACCCCCCACCCCTCCTTCTCCCAGCACCTCGTCCTCCACGCACCCGGCCCCCGGGGCTCTTCGTCTCCGCGGTCCCGGCTTGTACCGCCCCCCGTCGAGGGCTCCACCCCCCGCCTGCCCCCGCCCCC